CTGTAGGAATCTCTAGGGGCCAATGGACTTATTGCAGCCGCAATGACCATGCCGTAATCTCGGGCTCACAACACTGATCCGAAAGCGGCAACACAAAAACAAATTTTTATTCGCTCTACTGTTTTGTTTCGATTCCGAATTGATGCCGATGCACGCCAGCAACTTTGAACTACTTTTAGACTATTTCTAAAGCAACTTATCGAAGACAAAGTTGCTGGCAGTCTTGTGCAGTAGGCGAATGCTGGCAAAATTTAGACTGCCGGCGCGTGCCTTCGTTTTTCACTGTGGAAAAAAAAAACATTATTTTTTGGTAACAAAGGCAGAGGTAAATAAAAAATCATCCATTTGTAAAAAAATAAAAAAAATTCTCTATAATTCCTTCCCGTTCAGAGAGGAAGGCATTCGGAAATAGCCCGAAGATGGCACGTGCGAAGCGTTTCAGTGTGACAACATTCTGACGTTGTCAAAGTCCGATGTGGTCGCATCCCCCCACTGACAAAGTCCGACGTGATCGCTTTCAGAAAAAACATACTATGGATGAAAGTTTTTACGCTTGATTTCGATAACAGAACATTTCCTTCGTTGCAAAAAATTAACTTTATTTATCTAACTTTAAATTTAAAATTTAAAAAATAACTTTGCTTTTTGCTAATCGGAATCCTGTTGTTCTTGCCATTATTTGTACACCCTTTCTTGGTCACAATCTCACTTGATTTTTCATGCATTTTTAATCACTGTTGCAGCGCAAAAATGCAAGAAGACAAAATTATTGTTTTTACGTGCATGTATATCTTTCAGACTGATCAAATATCTAAAGCTTTGAAACAGCGAAAGCTAGGCAGCTGAAATTTTCGGGAAAAACTCTACACGCGCCCACCTATCAATCTCTACAAGCCGTACTGTGTTATAAACATTGAATTCAGGTTCAAAGTCAGGCGTGCTGTGTAACTTGAAAACTAAAAAGTAATACATTCAAAAAAAAAATTTTTTTTTTGTGATACTAACACACTAATCACAATTGATGTTAAAACGGCTTTTTTTTCTCGCAATCTTGCTGGATTATCCTAATCAACATCTTACCTGGATTATCCTCGAAATGTCCATAAATTGAAGCTTGAATTCCACAAAGTAGTAATAATAAAACCGGTAATGAATACAGCGCGTAAGTTATAGCGACGGTAGTAAGTGAAAGATACATTAATTGCTCAGGAAAACCGGTGAAAGTGGATCAGTATGATTCAGGATAAGTGCATCCTGGAACAAAAAATAGTTACTAATTTGTCGGTAAGGTGGAATTTGAATATTTATTCTCACCGTGAGAAAGTAAACGACCACTGGGGCGGTCCCCAAAGAGGTGGCGCATATACACCGAATGGACGATGGACTAGCTGGAGGTATGCGGCGCAGGATCGAATGACCTAGTGCACCTGAGCCTGACTTCTGGCGAAATCCTAATACAGTCTTGAACTGATAGCCCGGTCGGTCTAATCAACTGTCGGTTTTTATCCCTGCTGCTCGCAGTCGATGGAAAAACTAGACAGCTGAATAGATGGAGATTCAGACTGATATTTAACGGAATGTTCTGAGTATTCCAGGCAACCTGTTTCATGATTTCTTATTCTTCCATTAACAAAAGTAGCTTCAGAAATGCAATTCTACCATTTATTGGTGGAAAACGAATCCCTCACGCAATTATTTAGTTTATTTCGGTGGCAGGTTAGTACAAAGTGCATTCCAGGAAATAAAAATCGCTTCTATTTTGGTTTCAGGCATTTTTCGAAAAACGAATCAATTACATTGTCAGTTGGAAGTTGCCACTTACTTAGCCTTATGGATGCCTCCTCTTTACGTAGAAAATGAATTGGACAAAGTACAGGAGTTGAAAATTTATTTTAGCCCGTTGTGCAGCAAAACAGGATGAAGTATTTGACAGTATCTGACAGTAAAAATTCACCGTTTTTATAGCATTATAGGGAACCCATTATAGCCATTAAAAACTTCAAATAGTCAAAATAAAAGTTCATACGCAAATACTGACTCAGGAAAAAATACATTAATATTTTTAGAATACTTCGAAACAAAAATTTTGATACACTAAGAGCATCAAAAAGCTTTTATGATAATTCAAAACAAAGAATTTGTTTATGATTGTTTTGCTTTCTTAACATACATCACGACACAGAACGAAGAACGGTAGGTTGACTTTTAACTCCGGAATTCCAATTATTTGCAAATTTCTTTGCCTGTAACTTAGGAATGGAAAAAATTATTTAACCTGTACCTTTGCTGCCCTTACCTAAAAC